CTGAAAATACTGTGATAAATTACAGCTGGAAAAGGGGTATGATTATATAAGTTATACTTCATCATACTCCTTTTCAGACTCATAATCACCGATGTGATGTGTTTTCAAGAAATATATTATGTACTTTATGTTGTTCTACACTGCCGGTGAAAGGTTTATCTGAAATAAACTAAACTAAACACTTTGTTTAGTAACATTCTGACCCATGAATTAAAGTCCCTAAGTGCTCTCTTCCTGATTTGAGCAGGAAGAGATCAGTGAGGCAGAGAGAAGCTGTGATTGGTCATCTTCACACTTCAGGCATAAAGAAGCAGCTGATGTAAATTCTGCACTGACTCATGAACTGCATCATGTTATTCTGATTCTGACCTGACTTCTCCATGATAACATGTCCTCACACTCACATTGGTCCCAAATTAACAGTCCTTAAAGGAAACAAAGACAACAACTGGACAGCTACATGCATGTTTATAGCTACATCCAAACCGGTGAACACAGCAGGTTGGGTCACTCCTTCCTGTTGAAAAAGGAGCAGCACAAAGAGCACTCTGCTATCGCTTTCCTGCCTTGTCCCGGATGTTATCATAAACGCGCGAAAACATTGCGTTTATTTCCCTACATCTCCTGGCAGCGTTAAACATAGCCTGTACTAGCCGAATAGATAGAATAATTACAACTTGCCCAATAGCAAGGCATTCACGAAAAAATCGCTCCATTGTCCCGAGATGATTAGCCTCTGCTRGTTAGCAAGTTTCACTTCCTGTTTACTACCGCAAAGCTTGTCACTGACGTCTGATGTAATCACACGTTGCGTAGCCTTGTCTGACGTAATCACACATTGCGTAGCCTCATCTGACGTAAGCACGCGTTGCGTAGCCTCGTCTGACGTAATCACACGTTGCGTAGCCTCGTCTGACGTAATCGCGCGTTGCGTAGCCTCGTCTGACGTAATCACACGTTGCGTAGCCTCGTTTGACGTAATCACGTGTTGCGTAGCCTCGTCTGACGTAATTACGCGTTGCGTAGCCTCGTCTGACGTAATCACGCTTTGCGTAGCCTCGTCTGATGTAATCACGCGTTGCGTAGCCTCGTCTGACGTGATCACGCGTTGCGTAGCCTCGTCTGACGTGATCACGCGTTGCGTAGCCTCTTCTGACGTAATCACGCGTTGCGTAGCCTCGTTTATTTGCATCAAACAGTCGAGAGGGAAACTAGATGGAAACAGTCTAGATTCTAATTTTTATTTATTTAATTTTTTGCGAATTTTGAAAAGTTCGATAAAAATTCACTCTACAACTGGATGGAAACACGATTATTGTTACTGTTGTTCATCTACTCACACCAGTGTAGAAAAACACCTGTATTAAGTCCATATGATTTCAAAGCTCCACTATGAGACCTGGATTCAAAAAGCTTTGATGTCAGAGAAATCAAGTTGTTATGAACACAAAAACACAACAGCTTCACTCAGAAACAATGTTATGTAAGCTGGGCCTTGGAAATCTGAGATCTGAGAGCTGGTTTGTTTTTCTTGCTTGGTGTAAATGTCTACCATTATCCCCCTCTCAGACCATCCTCTATGTTTTGGTCCTCAGCAGTCCTTGTGGTACAGGTTCACAGCTGAGTCTGGTCCTGAGGAGCTGGTTCTCTTGTACTGAGCCATCCATCTGGACTAACAAGGAGTCAACATAAACATAGTCCGTAATTTATCTGTAACAATAAGAGAGTGGAACCTTAGTCCTGGTTCCTCTGTGAGACTCCTCCAACAAACTTAGATCGAGACAAAAGCAAAGTAAACTCATGGAAGAAAGTAAAGGCGTTAGAAAAGCACAGAGGAGGAAAAGAAGAGATGAAGATAGAGGCTCCTGGATGATGTCTGCTCGGTTGTCAGCTTGTTTCAGTGTCACCTCCTCTCTGCTTCCTCTAGACCTTTCCTTTTCTTTCACTGTCGTTTGTGCTTCTCTGAGGTGTCAGAGACTGAGGGGATGACAGGAGGAACACACACACACGCACGCACGCACGCACGCACGCACGCACGCACGCACGCACGCACGCACACACACACACACACTGATGGGCAAGTTCAGTAATTCAACAAAGACAAACACTGATAAAAGTTTGGTGCTTTGGTTGTAATTTTCTAGAGTTTTAGAGATCCAGAGGGTTCTCTAAACCAGAGATTCTTAACCTGTGAGCCGCGACCGCCACCTTGAGGGCCTCAAAAGAACAACAGCTTTTAACTTTGGGCCGCAGAGGGCCGTGGGACCACTTGATTTTGAATAAGGTGTAATACACTTTCTCACCACTAGTAGCAGTAGTGCACCACTCAGATGTTTAACAACTTTTTAATATGTAGAAGAAGAACCTTAGAAACCTGCTGAGAATGAAAACTTATTTTAAAGGGATCCCTGATCAGTTGTAACA